CCGGCAACGGGATCGCAACCCTCGGTGTTGCTCCCGTGCCTCGCTCAGCCAGTGAGCGGGAACCAGTCTGTATGTGGGATCCGAACCCTCGGGCGGGAGCGCCGCCGCACTTCCCAAGCGGAGCACTATCCAGTGCGCCACCGAGCCGGCCCCTCTCAGAATATTCTAAAAGCAAGAACACAACACTGCTTTCCTGTACTGAGCTTTCAAAACCACAAACAGAGGCAGCATACTGTTCAAGTTCACCTACATGAAACACAAAGAACATCTGTTATACATCTGGGTCTCTGCAAGCCCCAGGGCATCCGAGACAAGCTGTGTCAGCTGCCTCGATGCCAGTTCCAAAAATAAACCATGTCCTCTTGTTACTTATTAAAAATATTGAAGCTCAGGTATGTGGAGGAAATGGCTAACAGCCATTGCTCCCCCGAGAACTGGTGCCAATTCCAAATTCAAATCAAGAAAGCACTTCCCACTCCAGTCAGAATCCTAATTTTGGCAGCTGGCAGGGGATCTGAACCCTTGACCTTGGTGTATAAGGCTGCACACTAACCAACTGAGCTAACCAGCCAGCCCTTGCTGTTCAGAACTCTAATTTAAAAAGCACTTCTACCTGTGGGATATTTTTCCTTTGACTTTTTTGTATGTTACCTGTTTTGCATTAACATACAATAAAATTGACATTTTCTTATTGTATGTATCTGTGAATTTTAACACGTACAGATTCATGTAACCATCTCCACAACGAGGCTACAGAATAGTTTCATCACCTCAAACTCCCTCATACTACTCCTCTGTAGACACCCCTTCCCCACGTCCTGGCAACCAGTGGACTGTCCATCTCTATAATTTTCCTGTGACCTGTTAGCAAAGACTCAAAATTTTTAATTAATGATAAAAATTCCTCAAAGAAATTTTATTAACGGAAATAGTTTACACACATACTATTTACTTGTCTTAAGTTAAAGAAGTCACTTTAGTGACCTCTAGTGGAAAGAAAGAAACTTGGTAATGTACCCAACTTGTGCCACAGGTTAATTCCTCATGGGACTAATTAAAATGAGATTTTTATGGATAAAATTTTTGTTTCCCTTAATCTAAATCATCATTCTTCAACTCTCAAGCTTGATTACAAGAGGCTCTCTCAAACATAACCTGTAATCAAATCTCCTCCCTTTGCCGTACTATCCAGTAGTTAAAAAACTTTTAAATGTCCCATCATGCAAAGGCACTTTGTATTTAACTGAGATAATCATCTCCTAATTTGTCTACCATGTCTACATTTCATCAAGCGTAATGAGCTGATCCTCAAGCATTATACAGAGAAAGAGAGCTGCACATTCACCCCCAACCGCCACCCCCATTTTGTTAGCTAAAACTGAAAAGACCTCCAGGGTCCAGAAAACTGTGGGGAAGGGACACTCCTCTGGACTGATACCATACACCTGTTGTAATTAATCAGTCACTGTGTGTTTACCAGAAGCAAAATTTGCTGCTCACAGTACAGTAAGAACCTAAGACACTTCAGGAAATGGTGGGAAACAGAAAAATACTAGCAGGCCATTCATTGGCCCATCTGATGCCAACAAACTCACTTTACGGTGATTAAAAATTTAGTTTAGAAAAAATAAATAAAAACAATCCTACCACCACACACACTTGAACCCCACATACATACACTTACACATTAGTGTGAAGCTGGAATTCATCAGTCTTGTAGCCAACCGCAAAGTTGCTCTGGGTCACTCGGGACTTTGCGGTCTCAAAATTCATCTGGTAACCAGCCAGCCAGCCCTCATAACCCAGCACGAGAGCACCTCGGATTGAAGGCCCAGCGATGTCGAAGTCCACGTCGCAGCCCAGGTTGATGTGCTCCCGCTTGTACCCTGTCTTGATTTTGGCATTTTTTTTCCTGAAGGAAAAGAAATTGCACTAAAATCAGAACTCATGTTGGAACATCAATGCCAAGAAATGCAAAAAACATTTTTAAATCCCAGTTTAAACAGGGGGTAGGGGTGGGGGTGAAGTCTCCCTTAAGCAGCTGCTGTACCACAGTGGGCAGGACCCAAACGTTCTTCAACTGGAACCAGTCTGCAGAAATGCCATGATGAAATGAGAACACAGGCAGGAAAAGCCTGAAAAATAAGCACTAATTCTCTTTTACTATCCTTTCCATATGCTTAATGTAGCCGCCTACATAGGTATTTATTAGGTAGAGCCACCACGTAATTATAAAACAGATGTATCTTTGCTGTTTTCCAAACCTGTGGAAAAGATTTACCTTGTCATGAAGGCAGCTACCTAAACAAGTTTAAGGAGATGGTCATCTTACTTTGAGGCTCACCCACAAATACTAGATCCCTTCTAAGTGAATACAACAGTAAGATGGCTTGTAATTCTGTATTCATGAGAACCCAATGAGTACATTTCAGTACTTGGGTACTAATGTGGAACCTGGGGCTCTGCAGTCATGGGGGCCAGAAAGTCCTGCTTGGCCAGACAAGACCCCAGATCCAGGCTGATGATCCCACATTTGAGTCTATGACCAGTTCATTGCCTCCACTGCCTGTTCCTCAAGACCCAGCATCCATCTGGAAGGGTAAATGAGTAGTGACACCTACAAACATATTACCACCATGTCTTTTACCAAAAGTAAACATTGGACAACAAGATCACATCTATCAAATAAATTTGGACTATTCTCATCTGATTGTTTCTGTCATTCAGCTACAAAATGCACTCCTCCCACAGCTAACTGCATTCTCAGCAGAGACCCCAGGAGGAACCAGATCTGCTCAGAGCCCCAAGGACTACACAGCCCTGCCTACTAGCTTTATTCACATTGAGATTAAAGCTTCGTCCCCATCACCCAGAGTGGGGGCTCTAAATACCATTCCTTCCTGAAAGGAACCAGTGATCCTTGGAGAAATGGACAATTACAAGGTCCAGGGCAGGAAATGTACAAAGTGTGTCTGAAGCATCTATCAAAGCTATCAAAGATTACTGGTGTTAGGGCAAAAGGACTTCATGAGCTAACCCAAAGAGGCTCCTAAGAACTTCAAAGATGGGGCAATGTGAGCATTTAATAAGTATAATACCAACAATAGGTTCAGGCTGGAGCTGCTGAGCACACAGAGCAGGAGCTGGTAAAAGCCACAGCTGTGCCCTTCAGATGAAGTTGCATGGAGGCAGCAGGGGAGAAGAGGGCCTTGGTAGCCTCCAGGCCAGCAAGACTACTAATAGGGTTCCTGTGGGCCCACATAGGAGCAAGGAGCCACAACAACTGAAAAAAAAGAGCCACTCAGAGGCTGGTGAGTCATCACAAGGGACTGGCATACAGCCCATCCCATGGGAAGTGTTTGCAGCATGGGCAGTGGGGGAGACGGGCCCACTGGGAGAACACTGGAACACAGCAAGGACAGCTGATCTGTCCCCTAATCAGCATAGGACCACTCAGAGGAGACTGTTCAGTAATATAGAATTGCATGGGGTTCAGTTTGATTAAAAGACTCAGGCCCAGACCAGTGTTTCTACACAACCCAAGTACACTGGATTTCACTAAACCCAGAAGTCCTATAAAGTCAACCATTAAAACCTGAGCTGCACAAAAAGACTTCGCCAGGGAATCAGCAGCAAAGCAGCAATTTAGCTCAACCACAGAGCTCAAGTACTTCCCCACAGGAAGCCCCCCCACTTTAGAAGTAAGCAAAGGACAATAAATTAGTTCCAGTGCAGAGTTTAAGTAGTGAGAACAGCAAATAACCTAACACAGAACTGAAAGAAAAAACAGTACCTACAACCAGAGACAAAGTTTGATATTAACTAGTAAAGGTCTCATTTCACCATAGAACACCTATAACACCTAGAAGGACTGGAAGTCCCCTGGGCTACCAAGCCAGAAAGGGGGGACAACCAGGCATACCACCAGTGCCACAGGGCCCACCCCAGGTCCTGAGGCACGGATCCAGGGACCAGACCCTTTGCCCACAACCAGACACACCGCCAGTGCTATGGGGCCTACCTGGGGCCCTGAGGCACAGAGCCTGCCCAGGGTCCTGAGGCATGGATCTGGGGATCAGACCCTCCACCCACAACCAGGCACAGTGCCATCGCCACCACCAACTAGGTAACGAGCATGCCAAAAACATCACCTCCATGTGGGTGGCCCACTACAGCCACCATAATAACCATGGCTGCCACAAAAGTAGCTAGATGCCACAACCACCGTGCAGATGCTCTGCCAGCCACTGGAGTGCATTGATACAAGGAGAGTCACCAGCAGAGACCAAAGAAAAGAAGAGGATGTCTCTCTCCACAAAGCTCATTCCAGAGTGACAGAAGAAGCATCTGCTCTACGATAATATTGGGGGACCTCATCACACCTCTCAACACTGGACAGACCATCTAGGCAACAAATCAACAGAGTAACCATTATTCTTTCAGAAGGAGAGAAGAAATCTAGGGTTAACAGTGGTAGGAGGGGGGAGAGGGAGAGATTGGACAAGGGGCATAAAGAATAATTAAGATTCATAACAATATATATGCTAGTAATATTGATTTGATCAACATACATCAATGCTGAACCCCAAAAATAAGTATAATCAATTATGATTCAATAAAAATTTTTTTAAAAAAAGAAAAAAAACAATAGGTTGAAATATACCAAATATGTTTAATCTTTAAATTCATAACAACACTCAAAAAAGAAATCAAAATTGGGGCCGGCCCGGTGGCGCACTGGATAGTGCGCCGCTTGGGAAGCGCGGCGGCGCTCCCGTCCGAGGGTTCGGATCCCGTCTCTCTCCACAAAGCTCATTCCAGAGTGACAGAAGAAGCATCTGCTCTACGATAATATTGGGGGACCTCATCACACCTCTCAACACTGGACAGACCATCTAGGCAACAAATCAACAGAGTAACCATTATTCTTTCAGAAGGAGAGAAGAAATCTAGGGTTAACAGTGGTAGGAGGGGGGAGAGGGAGAGATTGGACAAGGGGCATAAAGAATAATTAAGATTCATAACAATATATATGCTAGTAATATTGATTTGATCAACATACATCAATGCTGAACCCCAAAAATAAGTATAATCAATTATGATTCAATAAAAATTTTTTTAAAAAAAGAAAAAAAACAATAGGTTGAAATATACCAAATATGTTTAATCTTTAAATTCATAACAACACTCAAAAAAGAAATCAAAATTGGGGCCGGCCCGGTGGCGCACTGGATAGTGCGCCGCTTGGGAAGCGCGGCGGCGCTCCCGCCCGAGGGTTCGGATCCCACATACAGACCGGTTCCCGCTCACTGGCTGAGTGAGGCGCGGGAGCAACACCGAGGGTTGCGATCCCGTTGCCGGTCCCCGGTCCGGTACGGGGGCAACACTGAGGGTTGCAATCCGTTGCCGGACACGGAAAAAGACAAAAGACAAAAAAAAAAAAAAAGAAATCAAATATTTATTCCACCTTTCCTATACTAACTATACTTCAAAGTAACCAAATAGTGGATGAAAAATTTCTTTCCATTGAAATATTACAGCTAATAAATGAAGAAGAAATTATAAAAGTGGAATTACGCCACAGGAAGCAAACTGGGTCCTAAGCCAGGGCAGCGGGGGGCCAAGGGCCTCAGCCACACCCCCCAACATCCAGACAAGCCCAATGATGACCCAGCTGCTGCTGGAAGCCCCCTGGTCTCCCCTGCCTGAATGGGAGGTTGGGGGGACAGCCATGGGCCTCGATCACACTCCCCCTTCTCTTCTCACTTCCCACCTTATTTCCCCTCCCCCTTCCCTTCTCCTTCTCCACACCAACTACTCTGCAACAACATCTTAGAATCAGACATGGGACCGAGGAAGCCAAACCCAGCTGCAACTAAGCAAGCTGCTGCCACAGCCCTGGGACCCAACAGGGCCCGGAGGCGTGGAGCCAGGGAAGCTGATCCCAGCCACAACCAGGTAAAGAATACACCAAAAACACCATTTTCACACGAGTAGCCCTCCACAGCCACTGCACTTGCCATGGCTGCTACAAAAGCAGCTAGTCTCTATAGCAGTGGTCATGTCCACCATGCAGATGGCACACCAGACTCTCAACTTCATTGACACAAGGAGATGCATCAGCAGAGACCAAAAAAAAAGAAGAGGTCCTCTCTCTCCACAAAGCACACTCCAGAGTAATAGAAGCATCTGATTTACGATAATAGGGGAGGACTTGATCACACCTGTCTCAGTACCAGACAGATCATCTAGGCAACAAACCAAGAGAGGAATAATTAATCTATCAGATGGAGAGAACAAATCTATGGTTATTAGAGGAGTGAGGGGGAGAGGGAAAAGGAGAGATTGGATAAGGGGCATAAAGAATAAGTATGATTTGTAACAATGAATATGCTAATAAAATAAATATACTTTTATTAAAGGCAAAATAAATAAATAAATGAATAAAAGTGGAATCACCATTTTGTAATCCCTAATGAGTCACTGGATCACAAATGGCATTGACATCATACAGAGAGAAAACCAGGTCTTACATGTGCATTGCACTGGAAACATACAGCACCACCTACATTTCAGCCCCCCACTCCATAACAGAATCTAAATGTCATGAAGTCTATAGACTTACCAATTCACAGAGAACATGGGGAATAAAGTTAAACATTCCATGTTCTCTATGAGATAAGAATTTTAGAGGTCATAGTTGAAAATAAAGTCAACAACCTTCCTATGTGACAATGAAATTTGCATATTGGGACCTCAATTTTGTTCAAGTTGCATCTGTACATTTTGGCAAACTTTGAAGGGAAGGACTAGCAACCAAATTCTCTCTCAATAAGAAAAATTCAAAATAAGCCAATTTGGGTCCGCCTACTCTTTATGGGAAGGAGCCTGGGTTTTGGCCAAGTATCCAATTGGCACTAAGCTGAATGGGGTGACTGATGATGAGACAGCTGTTGAGTGGCTGACATTTAGAAAGAGAGGAGACCAAGAAATATAAAAATTGGGCATCTTATAACCACCAGATAAAAAGCTGCTGCTGACCACAAAGTCTGATGCCTGGGGCAGGGCCTCTGACCAGTGGCATGCACCACCGCACCAGTTTACACGGCGCCTCCACCCACTGTCTTGGATTCTGGCCAGGAGCCCAAGATCCCCAAGAGAAGGGGCAGTGCCAGGGCAGTGGCTCAGGCTTTTCTCCAGGTTTCTGCTTTTCCTAAAGCAGCATGCCACATCTGTGGAGCCTAATCCTCTTATTAGGATTTTTTAAAGCTATCTAAACAGTGGTGTTAATTTGACAAGCACCTGAGAGAGACATAACTCTGATTTGTGGTTGACAAGCGGGCTCTATCTGTGGTACACACTCAATGGGCATGAGGTCTGCAGCCTCATGAAAATGTGTTCTACACTCAGCTCCTTCCAGGAGACAGGTGTGTTTCCCAGGCTGCATCCCTCAGTCACTTTGGAAAGCTAGTTTTCATTTCCAATCTCCACTGAGAGTCATCAAAACTTTCCTCAAATACCCAATAGCAATATGTACACCTAGGACTCACAATCATAGTTTCTAAACACCATTCCACAGTATAAGGAACCAGGGCTCCTTGCAGAAATGACTGATGACAGCACTGGGGAAGAACAAGTGTAAGATGAGCCTGGTACATCTTCTGAAACCAGAAACAAAGACACGCTCCACAAAATGATAGGGGCTTATCAAAAGCATACAAGATGTCAACTTCAAGGAGCTCCCAACAACCATATCTGGGACAATTTGAGTAACAAAATAAATGATAGTAATGGATTACAACCCATAGAATAAATAAATGTCCACCAATCCATTCTAGTATAAATAAGTCAGATTAAATTAATAGATGAGAAAGAAGGGACAGCTCTTCCTTACAGCAGAATCCCAATTAATAACTGAAGGAATGATGGAAACAGAAAATCGCCGTTCACCAAACACAATTATTGCAGGGCAGAATCACCAATGGATGCTACCATTTGTGAGCCAGAGTATGAGAAATAGAATATTTCTGTAGTCTCAAAGAATTTCCCCACAAGATACTTACTGATTACAAAGAGAAAAATAGTAGTTTTACAGCAAAGAGACCTGGCGGACACCACTTTAACCGAGTCATCAAAGTTAACATCACCAATAATGAGGCAGATTGACACATTCTTCCTGATATCATCACTGATAAGGACACAACACAACTTCACTTCTATGGCTGCCAAAAATACACAACCTGAATTTAATCACGAGGAAACATCAAACAAAGCAAAATTTAAGAACACTCTTGCGGGGGGTGGAGGGTGTGGGGACAGCTGGCTGGTTCAGGAATCCAAACCCATGACTTTGGTGTTATACAGCTGCACTCTAATCAACTGAGCTAACTGGACAGTCATGTAAAATTTTAAAACATTTTACAAAATAAGTGGCCACCCTTCTTTGAAAATGTCAAGGTCATGGAAGACAGAGAAAGATTGAGACTATGTCCCAGATTAGAGGAAATAAAGGAGACTTGACAACTAAAGGTAATGTAGGATACTGAACTGAATCAGGGACCAGAAACAAGACATCAGAGGGACAATATATCAGTTAACAGTACATCAATTTGCCAGCTCTGATAAATATAGTACAGTCACATAAGATGTTAACATTAAGAGAAGATGGTAAAGAATGTAAGGGATCTCTACATACTATTTGTACCACATTTTTATAAGTATAAAATTATTTTAAAATAAAAAGTTAAATTTTTCATACACAACCTGAATTTAATCACGAGGAAACATCAAACAAAGCAAAATTTAAGAACACTCTTGGGGGAGGTGGGGGGCGTGGGGACAGCTGGCTGGTACAGGAATCCAAACCCATGACTTTGGTGTTATACAGCTGCACTCTAATCAACTGAGCTAACTGGACAGTCATGTAAAATTTTAAAACATTTTACAAAATAAGTGGCCACCCTTCTTTGAAAATGTCAAGGTCATGGAAGACAGAGAAAGATTGAGACTATGTCCCAGATTAGAGGAAATAAAGGAGACTTGACAACTAAAGGTAATGTAGGATACTGAACTGAATCAGGGACCAGAAACAAGACATCAAAGGGACAATATATCAGTTAACAGTAAATCAATTTGCCAGCTCTGATAAATATAGTACAGTCACATAAGATGTTAACATTAAGGGAAGATGGTAAAGAATATAAGGGATCTCTACATAACTATTTGTACCACATTTTTATAAGTATAAAATTATTTTAAAATAAAAAGTTAAATTTTTCAAAAAGCTTCCCTGTGTATATTACTGCAGGGCCTGGAGACTTCTCTGCAAACCTCCCAAACATAATGGGAAATCCCTTACAAACTCCAAAGTGTGCCATCTCAGGGCAGCTAGCAAAGTCCCAGGCAGCAAATTTAAGCATGTGGGCACATCCTCCAGCCTCTCAACCCATCAGAGGGTCTCTCTGGATAACTTCTCACTGACATCATGGCAGGGTGCCACGGGGAAGTGGACAAGCAAGAAGGCAACACTCCTGGCAGCAGAAACTACAGCAGAGAGGACAAGAGTAAATCAGCCCCTGGTCAATGGTCTTCAGATCACCCATAACCAAGTTATAAAAGGAGAGTATCTCCAGAGGGCAGGAGCCCTGGCTGCACAGTTGCTTGTGCTCAGCCCACACCCAACACAGGGTCTGGACTTAGCAGATCCACCCTCTAATAAACATTTGTTGAAAGGGAAAAAAGGAAGGAGGGAAAGAGGAAAATAATATGGAATGGCAATATGGCATATAATAATGCGCTGCACAGTTGCTTGTGCTCAGCCCACACCCAACACAGGGTCTGGACTTAGCAGATCCACCCTCTAATAAACATTTGTTGAAAGCGAAAAAAGGAAGGAGGGAAAGAGGAAAATAATATGGAATGGCAATATGGCATATAATAATGCCATTAAACTGCACACTTAAAGATGGTTGAAAAAGTAAATTTTATATGTGTATTTTACCACAATCTAAAAAAAACTAAAAAATTAAAAACTAAAATTCAGTACATACTCTTGATCCCATCATCAGTGCACAAAACAACCTTCCCCAGGTTTAGGAGACCCACCATCCTGAGTGGAAAAAATTAAGAGTGTACTTTAGAAGAGAATAATTCCTTCTAGCCATTTTTGAAAAGCACCCAGGAGCTGAGGCAGACCAACATGCTGTCCTGCCTCCTGATGTGTCAACAACCAACAAGCCTCACCTGTTTCTGACCAGATGACCTGAACACAAAGCATAGCCTCAGGAGCCATCTTGCAGCTAAGCCCACGTGGTCTCAGTGTCTCTAAGCAGGAAGCTGAGAGAAAGGCCCTCCACACTGAAAACTGGGACTGGCAACAGTGACCAGTTAGCACCTGCTTCCAAATGACACCTGCTTCCCCTCAGCCTTGGCCACTTACGTTACCAGCTGCCTAACTCACGTGAAACAGAGCATTACTGGAGCAGCAATCCTGCAGCCTCCATGGCTGAGGCCAGGTGAACACTAACAGACAGCGCAGAATCTTATAATAAAATGCTGCTAAACACTGGTCCAAATCCTCCATTAGAAAGGAAGCTCCTTGGGAGGTAGCAACTATGACCTAGGCACCCTTCCAACTCCAGATGGACACAGGACCAAGCACAGAAGGCACTCCAATAATTTTTGTTATTCCCGAATTAAGGAGTGCTTGTTACAGCACAGTCCATTATGGATTGGATGTACATGTGTCCTGAGACTGAATCAAAACCAAAGAACTTGAATCTCCAGGTCTCGGAGGTCACCCTTTTAGGTGATGTCTGTCCCAAAACCCTTTGTCGCAAAGGGCTTCCACTGCCTGCAATATCACAGAATGTCCTTGTGAAGAAAACAGATGAGAATCTTACCCAGTGTTAGGTGAGAAGGATGAATCAAAGGTCAGCTTCAATCCACGTGCAAGCTGAACAAAAAAGAAATTTACCAGTAGGTTTAATCACAAGGCAGGCCAGCAGATGTGAATTAATAAAACTGTGTCTTTTCACAGGCAGCCAATACCTGATCTTCCACAGTAATCTCAGTGCCTAGTGTGTTATCAGTGTTCCATTTCTCCGTAAACGTCAGGCCGTATTCCGTCCATCTGTACTTGGTTTCCAGACTGCCTGTTACTTTGGTGGTCTCAGTGTTGGCTGAGCCTGAGCTTGTGAATTCCTTGAAACAAGAGAGAGTCACAGCCTATATCCCGGCACTCACCCCACCCCTGAACAGACTGTGCTTGCCTTTGTGCAGGAGGTGAGGCCCTGAACGTGTGGGGGCAAAAGTTAACTCTACAATTCAATTAAATATTTAAAGTATTAAATACTTTAAAGGATCCTCATACTTAAAGGAATCTTATGGTGAATTCTTTGTCAGGATACAGCTTCCTGCCTCCCCTATAACTCTTTAGTCTGGACAAGAAGGCACACCCCTTCCATCCTGCCTCCAGCCTGGTACAGAGAAAAAGAAATGAGCTAAAAAGCCGATGGAGCAGTAATTCAAACCTGAAACACCTTCCTTCCAACAATCACTGCATGCACAATCTAAGAGAGACTACTAAGTTTTTTTTAGTATGTATGTGGCTTTGAACACAGGTCAATTTTAAAATAAACACAAGGAAAACTAAAACTGAGGCCTGTCCCAATTATCTTGTAAATATTAACAGCTACTGAATTGGGGACCTGATGGCATGGTTTCCCTGACCACCCATCATGCAGAAAATACAGTAAATGTAACAACCACAAACTGCCACAATCCAAAAAGGTATCTTCTTTTGGCTTTGCCAGCCAGGACATGGCAGCTATTTATTTGTTAATCAAAACTAAATACCCATGTTCCACGTAAGCTGCATAACTTACCAATCCATTCTCTGATTTTGTTTTCAAATCAAGTTTTATTAAGCCAAATCCTACAGAAAAAAAAAAAAAAGACACAGTTAATTGGTTAAATAACTAACTTGAGAACAGCACCCCTGCCTCCCTTGTGACTGTTTCAAAATGCTCTTCAAAAGGAAGCACATTCCAGCCATGAGGGCTGAGGGCGCCCTGTCTCTGCTGCTGCCTGCCTATGTGTGGAGCTCAGCTGCCATGGAACAGTGTCAGACAGAACAGGCACAGGCCCCACCTGGGCCCCACCTGGGCCCCACCTGCGCTTACAGGGTCTGAGAAGAAGAAGCCTGACAGCTGGCAGAGACACAGTCATCAGGCTTCGTGGGCATGTGCCTGAGGACAGACTAAATTTAGAAGCTGCGCTCCACTGCAGCAGCACCCACAGAACCGCTCCACACTTGGAAGAGAAAATGAGAATGTCCTCTTGTCCCACTGCTGATGGCAATTTACAAGCCAGCCCCTACTCGGGGCATGACCCAAACTGCTTCACTAGCAACAGAAAAGCTTATCTCTTTTTCCCCTAACATGAAATTTCTGAACAGCTGAGTGATCTAGGCCTCTCAAACTGTCATGGGTAAAATCCCAAACATACTAACCCAGTCTGTGAGCTGGAAGCCCCCCACCCCACCCCTGCAACACTCACCATAGCCCTTGGTGAAGACATCTCTGGCAGATTTACCAAGATCGACATATGTGGGAGGCACAGCCATCTTCTGCTACAATAAAAGAACAAACACACTGGCAATTATGGAAATTAATTTTCCATCAATAAAAATTATTAGATATAATTAGCAACCAATAAAAACCATCCAGCACCAAAAGTTCCAGGTACCTTATCCTCCCAGGTGTAGGCAGAGAAGCCAGTGCTGTCTTGTGCTTCTTTCTGTGGCCAGGGCTTGAGACACCCACTAAGTCTTTGTTGATAGAGAACCAGCCTGACATTAACTTCTTTTGCTCAGCATCCCCAGGACTGAGCACAGGCCCAGAACATAGCAGGAGTCAGTAAATATTTACTGAATGAATTAACTGTCAAAGACACATTCCCATGAGCCCTCTACTTTACTAAATTGCAGACTCTTGCCAATTAAACATATCTTCTTACAAAATGTCGCCTGCTAGTGCATCAAATGCACTGAATAGGAATCAGAACTTTTCATGGCAACATACTTTCCATATGACTCTGATTTCATTCATTCAACAAATACTTATGAAATACCTACTATGTGCCAAAATGGGCCCAACTTTTCACAAACCTTTTGTACAGAAAAATTTTTTTGCACAGAAAATACAGTAACTCTTCACATGGAAAGAAATCCAACCACATCCTCCAAAAAAATTCAACTTAAAGAAACATTTATTAAGTTCCAGTGTGACTTTATTTTTAAAACCAACTGTCCAAGTACTACTTGAGATTGTTGCCGATCACTAAGTCGGCCAACAAACATTTATTAAGCACCTCAAGGTTCTTAATAAATAAGGTTCAAGGAAGGAGAGTAACTCAATTAATCCTTGCCATAAGGATGACACTGCACCCCTGGAAGGCTTTGCTTTGAAATGCTGTGTGCACAGAATTGAAGTCCTAATCCAGGACAACAGATGCTATGTGCTCCACCCAGGAGGAGAGGGTGTCAAGCATGAGAAAGAACCATCCCCCTGTACCTTCTCTATCCCCAGAATCATTAGTCTCAATTAACCCGAAGGATGGTTCCGTTAATTTTTGAAATACAGTATACCTAAATTACCAAACTGAATCTGCATACGACCCATTCGAAGTAACATATATATGTGCTCACACAAACACATTTAAGGCATGTACCTGGCAAGTGCGGGCCCACTGAAAAGTGGTTCAAGTGATCCCAGGGAACAATATCACAACTGGAAGTTGCATTCCTGATTAAGACCTTAACTTCAAACACACTGCAGGGAGCCCACCAAACCACTGAGTACCTCATAAAAGACACAACTATAAAACTCCACAAATTTAAATTGTGAAACTGTCATCAGAGTCCTACTGAACCTTTTTCAGATGCTTTGCTACTTTTGCCACAGCAGAGAAGAGCAGTGAGCTGTTTACTCTGTCCTATTTTTGTTGCTTGCTCTTGTTATTTCTTGCACATGATCGGGCTGGAACCATGGGCACCTCAGCCCATATTAGCGTCAGGACACAGAGAAGAGCCTGGAGACTCCCCTCTTCCCATTTGTTCCTTCCTCCCAAATTAACCCTGTAGGCACACCCACCCCAGGGGCAGACCAGGTCCTGAAGAAATATCCCCTGCCAAACGGGACATGCCTCAGCCACAGATGGGCCTGGCTCCTTCTGAAGAGAAACCAACACGAAACAACCTGGATTGAAAGCTGGAGTAATGCAGCCCCAAGCAGACTTGCAGCACATCACAGCCAAGGGCCATTCTCTATCCCTGCCAGACTTAAGCCATCAGTGGGCCCCCTCCCCAGCTGGGACACCAACAGCATGAGGGCAAGAGGAGGAGCAGTCCAGTGGCAATATTTCTGGGTCAGCTAAGACCTCCCTGGATCTCAGGAGTCAGGGCCTTCCCTGCTCCTCTCCTCTGGCCCCACAGGAGAAATGTTCCAGGACCCGTCTCCCAGACACAGTAGCCTTCACATCTGGACTGGTCTGTCCCTCTGGGAACTCTGGGTCAGCTAAGACCTCCCTGGATCTCAGGAGTCAGGGCCTTCCCTGCTCCTCTCCTCTGGCCCCACAGGAGAAATGCTCCAGGACCCGTCTCCCAGACACAGTAGCCTTCACATCTGGACTGGTCTGTCCCTCTGGGAAAAGACAGAACACTCATCATTTAATGTTTCCCAAATGCCGTCTCTCATCACTAATCCCCAAAACCCAACAAGCAAAGCCACCTGTCAAAAACACTCCACCCATAGCCAACATCAGTCTAATGTATGAGGCCACTAAGGAGATTACTATCCAAAGACAAGGGAGTCAGAGGGCAGAACTCAGAAAAGCAGCAGGAGCCCGCCTGGGGTCTTGAGGAGCTCAGATGAGGCCGGGGGCCACAGGCTCTCTTCCTTCATTTATTCGGCATTTAAGTGGTTAACCAAAACACATCTTCCAGTGCCAATACTTCATTCTAACCTTTCCAAATGCCCGCTTTCCCCCTCTCCTTAAGGACACAGACAATGGAGCATAAGCTGCCCAGTTATGGGCCCCCGGGTATGCGTGCTCCACACTCAGGTGTGTGTCCCCAGCACAGGAACCACTGGCTGAACAGAGTCAAATCTGCTCTGGACCTGAGGTAATACTACTACGGAGAGCAAAAGGCTAGCTCACCCTTCACTAAAGGTCCCCAACTGCTGTGTACTTACAGCTTCCCCTCCTGCTTTTTATGCACCTCCCGCCCCGTCCCCTGCTGCATTTACCTGACAGGACTAAGGAAAGGCCTGAGACAGCTCTGCCTCTACCCAAGAAGCTCAGCTTTCTTACAAGTGCAGACAGCACTCAGAAAGCATTTTTACACAGTTCTCAGAAAGCTTCAGAGACAATTGTGTACTAGAAGTCATGATCTGCACTATGTTTTCTCAGGTAGGCGTTAGAGGGATGCGAACTCGGTGTCTGCTTTCTCACTTAATACCATGCCAGGGCACTGACTTGGAGTTGAACCCTGGCCCTGGCCCCTGCCATGTCCTCCTCCCACCAGATCTGCTCCAAATCACACACTGTCTGTGCAGTACCGATGCACAGCTGTCTCTGCAGCACCCCACCCCCTGTGCCTTCAAAAGACTGCCTCTAGAGGCAAAGGACCGCCTCTAGAGCCTGAGCATGAAGCAGGGCAGTATGACATGGGCAAGACGGCCAGCCCAGGACAGACAGAATCAGAAGGCAGCCTAGGGAAGACAGGACTACAGCTCTCTCTGCCTGGGTGATGGCTTCAGGGCAATACCTGGGGGCTTCGTTCCCACTGGTGAGTGGGAAACAGGGATGGGCAGGGCCAGGCTGAGCAGACATGCTTGCAGTCATTGATGACTCTGAGGGCCAGTATAAGTCCTATCAGGAGACAGGAGTGCCTGGTTCCCCTCCACAGCCTGCCAGCCTACCTACCCAATATTCCCCTGGCTGACCTTGATCAAATTATGCAAGCTCCACTCCAGCTGAGGAATGAAAATCCAGCCCATACTGGAAGCTCAGAGAGGAAGGATATAGTACATCACCCAACATGGTCTGCATAGCACTTACATAACCTCCGTCTTGGGGGGACACATCCTCCTTGACTCATCAGCTGCATGGCAGTGGCAGCTGCTCTGCTCACAGTGCCCCCACTCCTCCCACACACACCCCTACCCCCAAATCACACCCTTAAACTCAAAGCACTCCAGAGCCTGTCATGCACAAATTTATCTAAAATACAGAAAAAGCTATGTGTATAAAAATGCCAAGGCCTGGCACATAGTAGGCGTTCAATGTAAATGTCTGTTTAATGAATGAATCAGCAATGAGCATCAAAATATTGTAACAGGGAAAAAATGTAGAAACATAGTATGTAACAGGGACTAAGTAAATTACAATGTAACCGGGAAGTAGGAGCTCCTTCTGCAGGGCAGCTGCAACACCACCAGGGTAGGCAGTGGAGACCCACCTCTAGCAACCTCGCCCCCCGCCCCCACCTTGGCCTAAGGAGAGCTGAACTTAGGTTGAGGAGACCAAGTCCATTAAGAAGTAAGCACTGGCTGCTTCTGACCTCAAAACCAAGAAGGAACTTTATCCTAAGGGCCACAAGGAGCCACAATCTGTATTTGGAAAGCTTACTTAACCAGCAGATTGGCAAAAATGTAAATGATAATATCCAGTGCGGGTTATGGTGTAAAAACAGTCACTACCATTCACGCCAAGTGGAAGTACTACAGGTACTCACACTTTTTGGAGGGCAATTGCTGGGCAATTAGCTTATCATTAACCCTAGGGGCAATTCCACTCCTAGGAACCCACCCCACGGTAGTATCCAAGGCGCCCAAAGATGCGTACACAAGGATGCTCACTGCAGCATTATTTGTAACACAAACCCCAGAAGCAACCTAAATGTCCATCAACAGGGAAACGAATGAATGAAAGTTAAGGTACTAACAAAGTAAGGAGTACCACACGGTAATCAAAAAGAATGAGATGGATTTATGTGGTGGCATAGAAAACTATTTATCATACAGTTAAATGAAAAAAGCAAGTCAAAGAAAATTTGTAATTCCATGTAACTAGAGGAAAACCTTTTTACACACACATTTTTAGATGTTTGTGAATTTGGAATGGATGGAAAAGCACGTGGAAAGATACAAGCCCATCTGTAAAATGTGGCTGCCTTGGAGCTGCTTCTGAAGAGGGAAGGAGGTTTAGGGAAGGAGTAGAATTCAAATAGGATTTTCTTTTTTTTTTTTT